CCTGAAATATAACATTTTTATAAGCTGATACATTGATGATCTTTAGATTATATATGACTGACTAGTACTTTATTCCTTTGATTAGAGTTTTAATAATAATTTAACTGAATATCTTTGTTTCCATTACCCTCACATAGCAGAAATAAACTAGTTTTTTGCAGTATTGACCTTGCTGACAGTTTTGTGGGATCATTTACATTATTCATGTTTATATTCTGCCTGTTTAGTCGGTGTTATGAAAGCTGCTCATATTATACCTCACGTCATTTTTTTAGGCATAACAGGGTTAGTACTTAGTAAAAATCTCAGATTTGAAAATCTTCAGTTTGTCCCTTCCTTACCTGCAAGAACCATGTGTGGTCAAAGCAGAAGACCAATAAATTTTGTTTTTTGGTAGCCTTTTTAGGCAGCCATTTGCAAATGTAATAAACAGAACGTCCCATTGTAATTCTGTGTGCTAACATTAAAATCAGCTTGGAGTATGTGCACACAGCTTTTCATCCAGTTGAGTGTTTGTGTTGGTTCTGTGACGGACTGCAGGCTCTCCTGATGACAGCTGGGGCAGGCTTCAGCCTCTCTCCAGACATGGGCATGACATGACAAGACAAGACAAGGAGGCTTTGAAAAAAAATTATGTTAGTTTACCTCATCACATAGAAAATAATATTTAAAAAAATTAATATAATGAGACTCTAGTTTTTGTTTTATGGATTATACTGAAAATAATATTTCTGAAAATTTCTGCTTTCCAAATTACCATGAATTAAATTTAATATTAAGTTACGGAACACAACTTCTTCATACTGCTATCTTGTGTCAATTAGGATATGAACCCATCACTAATTTTGTTATTATGAGTAAACTGAGCATGGCTGGAATGGTTTAGTTCTTTGTGCTTCCTCACAGATGCAGTGTCTCCAAATGAGTGTGTTATCAGCTTATTTATTATTTTAAAACTTTGCATATGGATTTTATTTTATGCCCTTACTTTCTTCTCGTGATTCTAAACRGACATTGAACAATAACAGAAAATGACGTAGAGAGGCTGATTTGTTCAGCCATTTTATACTCTGCTCATCTCAGGTGAAGGGCACAAGCTTTTAGTCCCCATCTGGTGCTTGGAGACCTCCTAACAGCCTAATTATGGAGGGGTATTTCAGCTTTCCTGGTTGGATTATGGGCCCCATGTCGAACGCTGTAGCAGAAAATGTCTGCCAGCTACAACCAGCTGAGTGATGTTCTCAGGAAGGCAGGATGTGGTTAGTTAAACTGTTATCCACCCTGCTTTGAAAGGGAGAACTCCTATGGCGTGCTGCCATAATCTCTGGTTTATTTTCTTTGGAGAGGAAAATACAGGGCAGTTGCATTTAGGAAAAATGGACATTTGATTTGCCTTTCAGTAGCTCTTCCTCATAAAGTACTGTAACTGAATTCTTAGTCTTGAAGGAGTTGTTTCTTTTGTCATTTCCTTGACAAACTGTCTTTGGCTTGTGTTTCCTGTAATTGGATTATGTATCAATATGATAATGTTAAATAAGTGACCTTGTATCTATTTTTATCTTTTTTTGTTTCATATAGTATTCAATTTCTATTTGTTCTGTTTACCATGTGGGTCTTTATGTAGTGAAAGTTCTCATATTGCTTATGGGGTCTGACATGATAAGTGGCTTAATGTCTTAGTTACAAATCCCAAAGCTTTTCACACTGAGCCCTCCACATGTTTTAGAGTGCTTAAAGCACCAAAAGCTCGATATCAGTATTTAATGAATGACTGTAACGTTCTATAAACCTGTATTAAGTATAAAATTTAGAGAAAAATTAGATAAGGAATGCTTGCCACGTGAGAAAAGACAACACAGCGTGCCACATCCTCCCCTTCTGTGCTAAGTTGAAGTTGTTATGGCAACAGAGTCTGATCCTACACCTGTTGCCATGGTTGGGAAAGATGGATTGATGACGTTCGTGAGGCAGCAGAATGTGTCTTCCATTTCAAGTACAGACTGAAACTCTTGGTGGAGTGTGTACTATAAGTAGAGCGCTGTGGATTTATTATACGGGTCGTCTGGGTTCAATTCCACGCTCATAAAATCAGTGTGGGATGTTTCGGTCCTTTTCAATTGTTCATTTTCATAGTTTTTTAAATGAGACCGGACTTGTCAGAGAAACAGACTAACAGTCTGCAGATCCAGCCACATAAGCATGATTCATTTTTTGGAGCAGAAAGGTGTCCTAGCTCAGGCGCTGTTGTTTAAACCACAAATTGACTCTGGTTTTCGATTAGACTCCATGAATAAAATAGAAGAAATCAACAGACTCGACAACAATATGCTTTGTTTTACGCTCATCTGTTAACTGGCTTGTATTGAGCATTTGATTGCCTATTTGTCCCCCATGTTCTACTGTCTCATTTTCCCCAGGGTTTATTGCTGTATAGTCTTCCTCACACAGAATCAGAGCCAAATGCCTCCTCATTAATATAGCGACTGTAGATTGTTCCAGGAAAGGGGAATAGGGGCATTGGTAACCTACACCTCCCATGATTTCTCCACGGCTAGTCTCCAGTTTCCCTCTAGAGGCTAGGTCAGAGGTGAAAATGGGCTTTATTTAGCCACCTGTCTTGCTGTATCCTTTTCCAGTGCCTATTGCCCAATATGGAAGCTGCTGCTGTTCACCTTAACCCAAAGATTAAAGACTGCAGAAGCCAATGTATAACTTTTACCTGTGCAAGTGTGTTTTTTTTTTTTTAATTACTTTTTTTGTGCAATAGCACTTGGAACGATATAGAGCAAAAAWGTCAGTGCTGGTTTCAAAACACACCCCGCTTTTCTGTCAGCGTGATATGACTCATGGAGCGCGATATGCAATCCCTGTCTCTCCCTCTTCTYCTGCATTATTGATAAGCATGCTGAAATCCTCTGGGTACGTGAGGTACTCCGATGCTTGCATCTTGGTGCATAAGCTTCATAAAATAAAGCTAATTACAGCTTTGCAGCTGGTGCTACAATACATATCTACACACTTTTCTTGTTTTTAATGAAGAAAAAAATGCATAATTAACATGTAAAGGTTGCATTCACACTAAATTGCCTTTTTTCACCCTTTTGTATAGCTTTTGTTTTCTGTTTGTATTTTGGATTGTTGCAAGGGCCTTGAGTTCACACATCCATTGCTTGTAGTTACTTTTGTTTTCATTGCTTCCTTTTTTTCCCTTTCCCCCTCAGTTCTAATGTGAGAGATACAGTATTTGTCCGCACAGCATAAGCAAAAGTTTTTTTAATTGTGAAAAAGTAAATTACAGCTTGCCTAGGAAACAAATTTTAACAACAAATGTATGTCTCTTTACAAATATTATCTTGTAATTTTTCATCCTTCTCTGTCTCAGTTACATTAGTGGCCACAGTCTCAAAGCTAGGACACTTGTCTCGTCGGTACCAACCTGCATGKTTGAGGGGAGTGACATACCAGGAATGTTAGCAGATTCTTTCTCATTAAGACGTGTGTGGCCACAGGGAACGACTGGTTTRGATGGAAATGCTATGTCAGTAGAACAGGTGAAACGTTGCAGTAAAAAGTAGCTCGAACTGATGTTCAAACTCTTGTTTAGTTGGGTTGTGCGAAATTGTATTGTGTTCAATTAATAGTCAGAAAAACTGTCAACATTTAATATTTGCCACTTCGCAGTTACTGCAATTAGTGCCACACGATGATATATTATCTGTTATGCACTTTCACTCTCAAGTGCACATGTGAGCCCATGGCATGTTGCGTTGATAAAGATCTGCTTGTGGAAAAAGTGGGTTACAGTTCACAGCTTTCTAATTTAACCTGTTGAAATGAAGAAGTTGACTTATTTGTAAGTATAATTTTAGAACACAGGGTAACTCATTGATATTCAAAAAACATGCAGGTGCAATTGTCATCTATGAATAGTYATAAAATAGTTATTTGTGATAATTTTATTTTGCCAATATCGCTCAACCCTACTTTTTGGTCAGTTTCTCATTTTATAATTGTAATCTATGCAACATAAGATGTATGTTAAAAATAAAAAATGTCTGCTTCCTTAAAACAAAGCATATGTCACATGTCACCAGTTCATGTGACTTTTGGGTCCAAAAATATCCCAGCTGGTGGTGCTCTGATTCAGGAACTGATGTAGGACAACATCTGTTTAGCAAGAGTCATAAAAAAGCAGTTTGTTAGTTGGGTCTCTTTGAAAACGTAAAAAAAAAAAAAGGATTGCAGAGTTTGCAGCATTTTTTAATGTAAACAAAAGGAAATGCATACAACAAAATTATATGTAAAGTTAAATTGATTCAGATTTTTAAGCAACATTTATTGTTTAAGTAATTCGTAACAGTAAAGAAATCAAACAAGGTTACGTATGTGCATGCTTGCATGGTTTCCATTTAAAACCAAACCTGCACATTCAAAATAGCTAAAAACATGTGCTTATCTAGCTAGCTGTTAAACCAGAGTGAGATGTTCCTTCTATGTTTTGGTTTTTATCTCCAATCACAACTATGTGAGATGCTTTGACCAAAAATGTGGTTTGAAGACTTGTTTTTGGTCTTGAAGTGGCACTCATATTTGCAACTCTAAGCACATCCATGAAAATCTGTGATTACTTGGCTGTCATGTTTCCGTCTTTCTTGATTGTAGCTTGAAACATTAAATACTTGTGATTACTTCTAAACAGATGTTGTCCATTACATGCGTGGCCTGACTTTATGCCATTTGCATTATTTTCCAATAACAATAATGGTGAAAACAAGAGGTTGTTAAAAATGCATGTGCAAAGGGGSGAAAAGGATCAGTTTGTATTAGTTGCACTAATAAATATTAAACTGCAATTCAAGGGGCGTGATCAAACTCTTTAATCTGTTTAGGCTCTGAAAAGCTTACAAAAAGAAACTGTATGAACATGGGATGTTTTTTTAAACTCAATTGCATTTAAGCCATATTTTCATTTCATCCCTAATTTTGCTCTTTGTCTGCAGCCATCCTCAACCCCAAAGCCCCAAAGGAACCAGCAAAGACCTTCAGTTTTGATTATTCCTACTGGTCACACACCACGGTGAGATAATCCCCCCCCCATGGTTACAATTTTGACTCAAAAATAAATTTTATCTTGTGTTATCAATTTGAAATACRGCAGTTTTGTGCTTAGATATAATATGCCTTAAATAATTTTTGTTTTTGCCTTACAGCCAGAAGATTCCTGCTTTGCATCACAGAATCGTGTCTACAATGACATTGGAAAAGAAATGCTRGAGCATGCTTTTGAGGGCTACAATGTCTGCATCTTTGCTTATGGCCAGACTGGAGCTGGCAAATCCTATACTATGATGGGCAAACAGGAGGAGGGACAGGAAGGAATCATTCCCATGGTTTGTATAATACATCCAAGAGAATTTAGTAGCCCACAAAGATTAAGACCCCAATCCTAAAGTTTGTAACTATTATTGCCTTTTTTTCTCTTCAATTACTGAATCTTTATCGCAAAGTCTTACTTCATGAACTGCTTGCTTTTTCCATCTTTTTGTCTATCTTAGCCCAGTCTGCCATTCACTTTATTTCTCCACATGCAGTTAATTTGAACTGAAAATCATCTCTCCTCCTCTGCCCTACCAGCTCTGTGAAGATCTGTTTGAGAAAATCAATGAGGACAGCAACAAAGAAGAGCTCTCKTATTCAGTGGAGGTAAGCTCGAAGTGCTTTAGAGTCTGTAATCCTTGTTGTTGAACCCTGCCGAGCTCTTTTTATTGCATTTGATGCTGTTTACCAGCAGTGATYAAATCAGACACTGAACACACATTGACTAAAGATTCAAAAATACTGGTTTTGTTCAGTTTTACTTCTATTTCTTTTTTTTTTTTCAGGAAGTGTCACAGCTCTTGTTTCTCTTTGTAGATTTTCCTTAAAGCACATTATTAGAATAACAAATATCTCAATATAGTAATCTTAAACCTATACCGCTAAATATGGTAGTCTTGGGTGTATCTTAACTGACACTTACGGTTTTAGGTCAGTTACATGGAGATCTACTGTGAGCGGGTGCGAGATTTGCTCAATCCCAAAAACAAGGGGAACCTACGAGTGCGAGAGCATCCACTGCTGGGTCCCTACGTCGAGGACCTGTCCAAGCTAGCTGTTACCTCCTACACAGACATCGCCGACTTAATGGATGCAGGAAACAAGGCCAGGTGAGCCAAGCCAAGTTCATTCTGAGATTAATGAGGGGGAGGTGTGAGAAACACAATCATCTGATGATCCGACTTAGAATTAATGAATGAGAAAATTAAGGAGGATTCATGGTTTCTTCATCAGTGTCAATCATAGATTAAATCTGAGCACCAGAATCCTCCCTGTTTGCATTCCTAGAATTAAACAAAACATCAATTCAATCTATATCTGCTTGTCTTAAATTCTTCATTAAAAAGGTTTTTCTTTTGAATTTGGAAGTACATAGAAATTGAAAACAACAAATGTTAAGTGCAAARTATAAACACATCTTTGTGTTGTGAAGGCTACTGCAGGGAGGAGTGAACTCTGCTGTAATCGTTCCGTGCTGACTAAGACAGCTTATTTCTAGAACATGGTGTGTAAAGCCCATATCTCCCTCATGGCCATTCTTCTGAGTATGCCTTGTGTGCTTCTGATCGGCGTCCTCACAATATTATCCCCCTCCGTGGCACAAAGTAATCCCATGGACTCAATTCACCCTAAGAGGTGTAAAACCCAGAGAGGATAGAGCTTGTAACATTCAGTGCAATTTATTCAGCGTTTGTCAYGGTGACCTTTTTATAGCAAAAATATTAAAAGCGTCTGAAAATGATTTTTTGTAAATGTTTTTGATTTTATTTTCTAATTTGTTCTCTTACAGAACTGTTGCCGCCACCAACATGAATGAGACCAGCAGCAGGTCCCACGCAGTTTTCACCATCGTCTTCACGCAGAAGAAACATGACAACGAGACGGACCTCACCACAGAAAAGGTCAGAGCAGACGAGACAGACCGTCGTGTTTCGTATTCCTTGAAAACATGAACATCCTGTGACGTTTGAGGTTCCGCTTCTAATTTTAAAAATACATTCTCATCTTTATTTATGGTTTTTCTTTTTTAACTCTGATTTTTACAATAATGTTGCATATGATGTCAWGGTGTGAATTTCAGGACTTTTTTTTTTCACAAACATATGCCGGCAACAGTCTGTCTCCTTAAGAAAATATTCTACGAGGTAATAAAAGAGTAGCTTTAGGTTGCAGCACCCAGGAGACTGTATAATATCTCTCCATTTTGTGTCTTAAACAACTCTGAAACCTGGTTTAGAGCGAATGTGTGTGCTGCCCTCTGCACTCGCCTTCGCTCTCCAGACAATTACTTGCTCCGTTCGCTCATCAGACGTCTCACAGATTTCCCCTTCAGACATCTGGAAGGAAATAGTCTGCATTGAAATTTTTGTCTTACTGTCTTGGACATTTGTATCCTCATTTAGCTGCTCTGTGAAGGAGTGGGGAAACAGTCTTACTTAGTTTTAAATGGAGAAGACAGAAGATGGAGGAAAAAAGAGAACCATTTTAGATTTGGCTTTTAGAGTTTCCTTTGACTCTAGAGACACAAAGATCATATTGTTATTTTAAAGACAATGACTATTGTTTCCATCCACTCTATCAGATTTTACTGCCAGGCAGGATCGTGCTTGACAGCAGTGCTCAAATGTGTGGAAGGATTTGTACTCCTTTTTCTAGTATTTAGATATTTTGGCTTTTATTATTTAAGCTATTTAATATTATATCTGAAAATTGGGGCTCTTGTTTTAATATTTTTCCCATTGTGTTACCAATATGGTGGTTGGATTCTACAATGTAAATTAAATTTAGTGCTTATTTATTAGAATTTTGTATCGGTAAACAAAATGTATTGACTCACTGACTAACAGCTACAATGATCTTTGTTCCAAAGCACATTGATTACTACACGACACATAACTTATATTATATTATTAAAGTTGTAATCAGAAGTTATTTAACAAGTTTACTGCAGTAACTTCTGAGCATCTGACATTTGTTTTTTTGTACATATAAACAATAAAATGAAAATAAAATTTACTGACCAACTTCACAGCTAAATGTGTTTTTAATAAACACGAACCGTTACATGGGATATTTGTCAACTGTGGAGAATAATCATTCTGCTCCAGCACAACTATCATCAAATTTTCAGTTCTGTTTATTTATATAGGGCCATTTCACAACAACAGTCATCTCTATAAGCAAACCGGTTCAATTCCAAAATAATTACATGCAATCCAAAAACCTGTTATCCAAAACTAATGTTGTATTGTTATTGCAATTGTTATTGAAATTGTGCAGTGGCAATTAGTTTTTGTCATAACACAGTGAATAAGCACTGTAACACTGATATTGTTTACCCACCTTGCATTCAGATGTTTGTATGAGAGCTCAGTGCATCWAATGCGTTCACCGTCTCTCCTCAGGTCAGTAAAATCAGTCTGGTAGATTTGGCAGGAAGTGAACGTGCAGATTCCACYGGCGCCAAAGGTACCAGGCTAAAGGTAAGACTAAACTGCTACAGCAGTAATCAAATGACCAAAATCATACAGACATCTATTAAATGACATGTTTTATATATGATTGCAGGAAGGAGCAAATATCAACAAATCTCTCACCACGTTAGGAAAGGTGATCTCTGCCTTGGCCGAAGTGGTGAGTGTTTATTGTTTGATTTTGTTTTCTCTCCTCGTCCTTTTGTCGCAGCCTCTTTTACCCTTTTCAACTTGACCCTGCCTTTTCAAGGACTTGTTGTTTCTAGCCTGGCATGCTGTAATGTCTGCCCCTCTGTTTTCTCTTCCTTGTAATGCCTTCTTACACAGGATAACTGTACCAGCAAGGTAAACTCTTTTGRCAGCTCAAGCACTAACCTTAATATCATCCCACGAGACAACTTTCACAAACATTTGCTATGTTTAATGTTAAAAGTGTAGAAATTCAGCTGCAGCCATTCTATCAGCTTAAGTGTTGTGCTTTGTGGGTGTAACTGTGAAGGACCGCTACAATCAATGCACAAATCAAAAAGCACATCAAATCGCTGCTGCTTACATTTCTTTAACTCAAAGTTTGTGACGCATCATAATATTGCACAACTTTCCATATTTTTAAGTGTTAAAACAGAAAACCCTCCATCTGTTGTTTTTATTCTTGATATGGATTTTTTTTTCCTGTTGCAGAGCAAGAAGAAGAAAAAGACTGACTTCATTCCTTACAGAGACTCTGTTCTGACCTGGTTGCTGAGGGAGAACCTTGGTATGAACTTTAGTGTCACCTGATATATAAACTGTCCTGCTGGGATTTATATCACTCAGCTGTTTACTGACATCCTTGTGTCTGCATAGCAAGCGATATTGAGTAATTTGTATAATGGAAAGCAGAGTGAAAGTATAAAAAATGACTGGAGCAAGTGTCCATTACTCTCTGCCAATTTAAGAAGAACTCTGTCAGCAGGCTGTATTTCACCCTAACTAGACAAGGACACTCCCTTTAGTTTAGGCATGTGAAGAAGAGATTCTTGGTATGTTGTCATTCCCGTTGTCTCTACCTGACTGACATTTGCTTTGTATTTACTAAATGATATTTCAGTTTTTATTTGAGGATTGTGGAAATACTGCATTTCAAAATAACCTTTTAACATTGTTTTGTTTTACAATTTCTTTATTTAAAAAAAAGCCCTATTACCTTATTGCCATTTAACTGACATATTTGATCATCAGGTGGAAACTCCAGAACAGCTATGGTAGCTGCTCTCAGTCCGGCAGATATCAACTATGATGAAACTCTCAGTACTCTACGGTAAGCTTTCCAAGTATGGGATCTCTCAAAATAAACACTTACATGTTAAAATGTTCCTGTTTTCCAATCTTTAAGCTCCTTCTCATTTGTAGCTACGCTGACCGGGCAAAGAACATCAAATGCAATGCTGTCATCAATGAAGATCCCAATAATAAGTTGGTGCGTGAGCTGAAGGACGAAGTGGCTCGGCTGAAGGAGTTGCTCCGTGCTCAGGGACTGGGAGACATCCTGGACAGTAAGTCTGCAGCCACGCAAYGTTTCCGTCAGGGAAACTGGAAACCTCTTCAGTCCTCGTTTCTGTCTCAAAAGCTTTCTGCCAGCTGAGTGGGTTTCCATCAYAGTAACTGTGATAATACCAGCTTTAAAAGCTTTTAATTTTTACTGGCCATTGATCTCTTAGACACTATAAAGTGATGTGTATCTTTGTCTAGTTTCTAWAGAATACACCATTCATTAAAAATACATAAAAATATGTAGAAAAGGTTGAATTAAAATGTAGTCAAGTGCCAATTAGTGACTGACATCACAGATGATTAAATATCACACTCGACTGGCTGAAAACAAGACTAATGACTCATTATTCTGTCARTTAAAGAAATACGGCAATGTCACGATTAATAAGTTCCAATAGCAGAAGGGAATAACCTGCCTTTTTGCGAATGCCTGCTTAGATGGTGTTTGATGATATAGTATTAACAAGTCGATACATAACATTTCTTCTCATCCCTGTCATCATTTCCATTCAACTCTCAGTGCAAATCTGTAACTTTTTCCTCCCATTCTGGTGGCGCTGACTTCTGATCCTTGTCATCTTTTCCTGCCTCCCCTCAGTTGATCCTATGGGGGATGATTACCCAGGAAGTGGAATCAAATGTGTGTATATGTGTGCCAGTCATGCACTGAATATATCATTATTTACCTAAATTATAATGGCTAACATTGCTTATGACACCCCCACCATGGCCTAGATATGAAATCTGCTGCCAGCTTTGCATGTAAAGCTTTAAAAAGGAAAAACAGAATAGTTAGGAGCTTAGATATGCAAGGCTTTTGAAAGTGTGCTGATCTGGCAAGAGTTGGCATGCCACTAGGTTAGAATGCTTTGCGTATGCTCTTCTGTTTTTTTTTCCAAAATTATGGGGGTATGGCAGCTTTTTGCAGGCTTACGCAGAGCTTTATCGCAGGCTACTTTGGGAATTTCTTTCAGAAACATAATTTAAGTATTGTTTCTTCATCCCCAGTGCTTCTAGATCGTTTTTTAATCATGTCTCACTTTCTGTCACTCACTGTCTGAAGCTCCTTTTGTTGCCAATGGCTCCTGCTGCTTTTTACTGTGTTTTCTTTCACTAATCATCCATCGCAGGTGACAGTGCTCAATGCCTTAGAATGGCTCTTCTGAGTTCTCAAAGTGAGGCTCAGAGCTACAGACAGAAAGGTGCATATTTTTTATTTTTCTAAGTAGCTGCACCAGAAGTGTGTATGGTACATGCAGTCAACTAACTTAGTGTGCTTTAATAGTTTGTTTTGAATAATTTACTAGTGTGCCCTCTGCTGTATTTTAAACTTCCTTAACACATCTGCCCTTTTGTCCTCTTTTGCTAATATCCTGTGCTCTCAAATATTCAGAATTTTTTCTTTATTGAGCAAAAAATCAGTTGTTCTTTTTAAAAAGTAGGTTAAAATGATTCTTTTCACATTGCTCCTTTGAGTTGATTAGCTCGGTGCTCACTTAGTTTTGAGATCATGAAATGTAAATCATGTATTATCTTTCAATTCTTATAGAACAAAATGTATTTTTTCTTACACATCGTTGAGGGTATTATATTAACTTGTGACCGAGGCTGCCTTAGTTTTTAATATGTTTCCGTATCTGCGAATGCATGCGTGGTGTGAATTAATGTACTGAACTGCGGGCTGGACTTCAGCAGCATGTGTTTCTCTCCACTGTTCTGTCACTGGACCCTCCTGCAGTCTCCATCGCACTCTCATCCTGTAGTTGATAAACTGATGGCAGTTTTCACTTTGGGCCCATTCTAGAAAAGAAATTACAAAAAGAAAATTAGGAAAAAACAACTAATAAATAAGATTTTATAAATGTAGGTTTAGGACCTCAGTGTTTATTGCTCTGCTGTATTATTATGATTTCCATAAATGGAAATAAAGGGAGTGAAAACTGCTGCTCTCTGTAGCTGAACATCATGCTGGATGTTTGTCTTAACTCTTTGATATACAATGTGTGTCTTACATTGGTCTTTCCCCTCCTGTGTCCTTTCTCTTTTYCCCATATTTTTCCACTTCCCTCTGTCTTAATTTGGTATTTGGTTTCTCCGTTTTATGTGTGTTTTCCTTTTACCCTTTATCCTGCGTCTACCCTACCTCTTCGCTCTTCTCCTCTTCTCTTTTGCTGTTGGCTCAGACCTGAAAGACATTCAGAACAATAAGCATAGATACTTGATAGCCTCAGAGAACCAACGCCCTGGCCATTTCTCCACAGCCCCTATTGGTTCCCTGACAGCCTCTCCGTCCTCTGGCGCTCTGTGCAGCCAGGGGGGTCTGCAGTCAGTCACCAGCATCCAGGAGCGCATCATGTCCACACCTGGAGGGGAGGAGGCCATTGAAAGACTCAAGGTAAAGTATAGACAATCAGAAATCACACTCATGTTTCTACAACAGTTAAGAAGTATCACTGCCCAGTTTGTCCCCCCCTCTCCCCCMCAGATAAAATAATAATAATAATGGGACATAAAAGCTGTATGGTTCTGTTTTTTAAATCCTGCTGGGATGAAATCTGCCTTTTCAATCTTAATAAAAATAAAATTTGAAAGTAAGTTTTAATAAATGCTTATTGCTTGTTTGATATTGAAACAATACAAAATAACAATCATTGGTATAGTCAGTATAAATCAACATCACATTGTTAATTTAAAAATAAAAAAATAAGRCTTAAGATTTATTAAGGATGATGTTTAAGTGGTCAGTTTTTATGTTTTTAAATTTGTGTAAATTGATCTATAAACTCATTAAAAGTGAATAAATTAACATCAGGTCAAAGTGAAGACCTTAACTGCAGTCTGCGTAATTGTTTAATAATAATCTGTTTAATTTTAGCTCACCGTACAACCTTTTAATAAAACGGTCCATACGAGGCCTCAGAGCATCGGATCTCTCCTGCTCTCCATGTACACTCACACTGTAGATAAAGTGGGACCGCAACAGCCAGCCAGGAGGAGCTGCAGTTTCCATGGCAACCGTGGTTCTCAGCCTGTCCGTCRTCCCAATGACGTCAAACACCAACGCAAATACAGGGAGAATTGGACAAAAATAGATGTATTTCTCATTGGCTTTCAGTTGTGATATTTGGACACTTTATTTTCTCATTCTAAAGGTGCTGAAACGGTTCTAGTGACCCAGAATCAGCCATCTTCTCAGAAAAACATGATATTCCATGAACTTTGTTTATTCCCGTGCCTAGATTTTGTTTTATTAAACAGTTATAGTAGAGAGAAAAAGTCACTMGAACAGAAGCTTAATAGCTAAATATCCATTCTTTAAAAATTGTTCAAAATATTTAGTTTTCTTGTTTGCTCATAGACGTTTTAAGCAACATTATTAAAGTCGTTTGATTTCTGCATATATTTTATATTATTCTGTTC